CTAGAGGAAAAATCCTCTGCCCCTGTCGGGGATCGAACCCCGGCCGTCCAGCCCGTAGTTAGTCACTATACTGACTGAGCTATAAAGTTGTTGGGACACCTGTATAGAGCCAGTGAAGCACACCCAAGCAAGAAAGTAACATTTACCAATATAGAAGGAACAAGAAAGAGAGGGCTTGATAGTGTAGAACAAGATCTTCAAGCTCTCGGAGTCCAGGGATGGAAAAGGGAAGCCGTAAATAGGGACCAATGGAAGCGCATTGTTGGGGCGGTCAAGTCCTGTAATAGGCAGTAGAACCCGTGATGATGAAGATGATGATGATGATGAGGATATTTTTGAAACTTCAGGTGTGTCAAGCATTCTAGGAATGGAAGAGCTGTATGAAAGCATCCTCATTGAAAATTTCCATCAATGCATTTGGAAATATTATGTGCCTGTATAGAGTATTTCCTTCAGTTTCTCAGTCTATTTGAGCTGGGGTTGCTCAGTCAGTATAGTGACTGACTATGGACTGAAAGATTGGGGTTTGATCCCCAGTGGGGGCAGAGCATTTTTCCTCTAGCCTCTGTGTCCAGACTGACTCTGGGGCTCATCCACCCTCCAGTCCAATGGGTATCTGGGTCTTTGCCTGGGGTAAAGTGCGATTGGGGAGTGACGCTGACCACTCACCCCTATCTAGTGTGCAGTTTAAGAATGAGTAGGAGCTGTACTGCCTCTTCCCCTAAGTGCCTACATGGTGTATAGTGAGACAGATTTACTTATACTCATCCTGTTCTCTTTTCTAAACTTGTGAAGAGAGCAATCAATCACAAACTTTGATTGGGAATTTACTGACCTAAAGAGACCTGTCTGCCAGCTGACTTTCATGCATGATGTCCAGGTTTCAAATTTGGTTTTGATTATACTTTCAATGTTATATCAAATACCATAGCTTGTATGTTTAAGTATTAGGTTAATCATAGGTCAATGAAATATTTTATTGCTTTTTTTTGCTTTATAGTCATTAAACGACCGCCACGGTGGTCTAGCGGTTAGAACGCTGGCCTTGTAATCCTGGGGTCTCGGGTTCGATTCCCGGCGGTGCCCGAATTTATAACTTGTGTTGGGCAAGACCGTGGTCTAGGCAACACGGAGTTTTCCTTCGGGGGCTTCCCCGGTTTCTCCGTGGCATCCCAACAATTACTCCATTCACACACATAAGAAGGCAATGGCAAACCACTTCTGGATCATCTGCCAAGAACGTATATGAACAGGTCCCAGTCCGAGAAAAGGATGGAAGGATCCTGTTCATATGGACCTGTCGTCAGACAGAACACTAATAATAATAAAAGTCATTAAACAATGACAATCGTAGACTTCATTGAAGAAGCTGTAATAGAAAGAGCTTTATATTAATCATAAATTTTAAATGTGCATGATGTTCTGAGCGAACATTGTCTACATTCATGCTGCCATCTATCAGTATCCAAGAACTGTTCGATATTACATCCGCCAAATGTGGCATAAGGAGTGGCTTTGGAACTTGTGTGTGCCCTTGAGTATACCTACAGAATCTTATTATTATTTGACCTGTCATTCCCATAAGGCATCCTTCATGTTTACTGTTATGAAAATCAACTCAGAGCATTTTGATAAACCATATGAACTATTTCTGTTGTTATCTACCAGTTATTAAGTAACATTTAAGCTTGTTTGTGGTGATGAATTTGTATGTTTCTTCTTCTTGGCTTGCAAATGGTGATGCTACTGGGTTTGCTTCCAGGTCATATTCAGCATTGTTTGGAACATCCTATCCATAATAATTTGCGAGACATTCCTGCCATCCATGCGGCTGTGGTCTTATGTGATTGCTGTTGGCTGTGCATGGGTATGTATTCATTTCAAAGTGTGTCTTGGCAGTAAGGTGATTTTTTGTTTCTTAGGCCTCTCCATCCTTAGCTACCATGTTGCATAATAACATGGTTGTTCTCACAGTCTACAGGTAATTTTATTTTAGTTAAATCCTGATATAAACATGTAGGAGGAGCTTTTACTTTGCCTGCTGCTTTAAGAAACCATCTCATGTTTTGATAGCTATTGTAACCAGCAGATGTAGTCTGCTTTGACAGGAAACGGTCATCTGAGTGCTACCATATTTTAGAAATATATGTAAATCTAAGCCTTTATTCTTGTGTCAAGTTTTATATGTGTAATTATTTGCTTTACACACATTCATTTTATTAGTTAACACAAAAAAACTAATCAGATCATGAATCGTGTATGTAGGCATGACTTGGCAGTACTGTGCATTGAAGTATATGTTTTATCTACAAGGGGATTGGGGTTAGGAATGGTAATAGGTAAGGAAGCATATGTTTTATTGGTGGCATACAATGTTCACACTATAAACATTACTTTCCAGGCTCAATACTTTATGGTTCACTGTGTCAGTTTTGTGACAGCAATGTTTTTCAGTAAAATCTTCTTGGGCAAACAGCCATGTTCCCATCTGTCCCTATCATCAGGGTGTTTTCTCCATTGAACCACCTTACATGACTGGCAGCAAGAAAAGAATTCATTATAAGGCCTAGATTGTTTGTACAGTATTAACAATTATTAAGTAGTATATTAAGTAAATGCTGTGAATGTTGACATTTGTTATAATCTCTTAATTTAATTGAAAATTGCTCATAAGAAAACATTTATAGGCCTGTTCTGGCTGTGTGTCTGTCCTGTTCTCTTTTGCTCTTTTCAGCCAATAATTGCATGGTGCCGTTTGCCTATGGAAATGTGAACTGTTTGTGTTGCCATCCTTTTGAACTCTTTTGTGTCACACTCATCGAATATGGCACGAGAAATGGTTTTGTAACTTGTGTGTGCTCTGCAGATTACACCTTTCTGATTATATTATTTACATTGTCAATCTTCATACTCACTGCTGTGAAAACATCAAATCTTACATTGTGAGCCATTCCTTATGTTTGGCACTGGCACGTTCAGTTTATCTGTCGGCATGTTGCATTTTCAACTGAAAAGAGTATGTTGCCATCTGTAATTATTCTTTAGAAATATTCTCTCAGTGTTTATGTGAACTTTGATCTGTTTATGGTCATGAGTATGTATGTTCCTTCTTTGTGGATTGCACATGGTTGTCATACTCTTTGTTTCTAGATCACATCCAGTGTTGGTCATATCATCCTGATCATAATAATGTGGCTTTATATGATGACTCCAGCCAGGGCATGGGTAAGTGTTCATTTCAAAGTATGTCATATTCAAGCTATAACAATCACTCTCCTGTGTAATACCAACAGTTTTCTTATGGTGGGGTGTGACATTAATAAGAGTGTGTTTCAGAAACTTTAAAATGATAAACATTCTAGGAGTGTTGTAGGTGACCCAAGACACCCTCACTAAGTGTTCATTTCAAAGTATGTCATATTCAAGCTATAACAATCACTCTCCTGTGTAATACCAACAGTTTTCTTATGGTGGGGTGTGACATTAATAAGAGTGTGTTTCAGAAACTTTAAAATGATAAACATTCTAGGAGTGTTGTAGGTGACCCAAGACACCCTCACTGGAAATTTCCATCAGGACGTTTGGAAATTTTTGATGCATCTTTAAGAGTATTTTTTTCTGTAACAGGGCCTGTTGTAATTTCTTAACTTGTGAAAAGTGGACTCAGTTGCAAATTTTGACTAATAGTCAACCAGCTAGCCAGATGTCCACATGTCAAATTGGATTATGTTCCATACATGCAATCAGTGGTTTATGAAATATAACACTTTATATTTTTAAATGCTAGGATTAATCATAAGTCACTGAAATATGTTACTGTTTAAATGCCTTTATAATCATCAGACAATGAAAATTACAGGAAATATTGATGAAACTGTAACAGAAAGAGTATTGTATACAAAATAAATTTTAAATTTGCAGGACATTGAAACAGGCAGTGTACACATACTATCATTTCAGCTCTACACTCAATGCTCCTACCTGTTCCAAATAATTCTGATCACTAAATAAACGTGACATATGGTTTCAGTGCCAAGTTTCATTTTTCTGTTTCACTGTTTCATTTGTTTATCAGAAATTATGTTGAGAGAACAGAATATCAAATAAGGGGCCCTAGACTTAGAGTTTATGTGTTAAAGCTATTTAGTACTTTTCATTGTATGCAGCATATGTTGACTTTTCTTGTAACCTCATAATTTCAGAGTAAATCAACAAAACATTTTTCACACTTTCAGGCCATCTGTCTAGAAATTGTGTGTACTGTGCAGACTATACCTTTCCAATATATTTTTCATTTAAACTCTCATTCCCGTGAGACATTCTTTGCATTTACCATGACCAAACTAAACTCTTGGGCACATCCAGTCTGTCCGACACCCTGTTGAGTTTTCAGCAGAAAACAACGTACTGAAGTGTTTTCATTAACTTTATGAGCTATTTGTGTTGGTTTCATCTTGTTTATGGTGATATGTCTTTTTTGTCATTGGTTTCCACATGATGATGGTACTGAGTTTTGTTTCTAGATCACATCCATCATTGCTCGGATGATCCTAATCATAATAATGTGGGAGACAATCCTGCCATTCATGTGGCATCCTGTGGTGGCTCTAGGCAAAGCATGGGTATGTACTCATTTCAAAGTGTGTTGTCTTCTAGCTGTAAGATGATTAATTATTGCTGATTTCTTTCCATTCTTATCAATGCATCTTGCAAAATGACAGAATGTGTGCCTGCTATATGAACCATTTCATTTTAGTGTATTCTCAGTGTACACAAGCAAGAGGTGCTCTCTCCTTTCCCACTCCTGAAAACTGTTATCTCATCTTTTGGAAAATGTAGTATGCATTTACAAGGAACAGTCCCTGAACTGCCATCATATTTTGGGAAAAAATTTAACATTTCTAGATTAATTGTTGCCATTTTTTATGTAAATTATATAAATTCACTGCACAAATTTATTTTGAACATACGACATCATGACAAAATGAATTTGGTTATAAATCAAGTATGTAGAAATAGCTTGGCAGTACAGTGCCTGGGTGAAAAGCGGGCGTGTGTCACAATTAGAAGATAATGACAAGGTGAATTAAGGGTTGTAGTTTGTGCAGTTAAGGAAGCATAAATATTTGACAGTGGCAATAATTTGTGGCTTAATTTGTGGCTTGCTGTGTCAGTTCCTGTATCAACATTTTATTTTGCTTACCTTCTACTGACATGGGCAAAACATCTGCACACAATTGTATTGGTTCATAGTGCCACAATGGAGGTGGAAGCTGGACTACTAGTGAGGTGAAGCACAAGCAAGTTACTAATATATCTGCAATCACCTTGGTTTAGCAAATCAGTTATCAGCGTGGGCACAGGGATACATTCATTGCAGTGTGATAATTTTTACATTGGATTGTACTAGAATAAATACCATCTTGTGCATGCAGCATGGGAGTTAATAAGAAATTGCACAATGAAAATTGGTGAAATGTATGTGAAGACCTGAAACCAAGACAGAATGGGAACAAGAAATGAAATGCCTGAAAGCAAATAAAGAAAAATCCCCAGAAACACTGGAGCAGAAGAGAAATATGCTTCACAGAGAAACCCAGGACAAGCCTGTGAGATAGTACCAACCTTTCCTTTGACTTACTGACCTCATTGCTGACAAGGGGAATCCATATGGTAGAGATTTCCAAACTAGGTTGGCTGTTCAGGTTTGTAATGAGCCAATTCCTTGTATTTTATATACCTGCTGTTGCTTTCATTTTCCAAAATTCTGGCTTCATCCCAGCCCACCTTTGACCCTCTTCATAGGCATGTTTGGCCAGTTCTGATTTTTCTAAAAGACTCTCTCTTAGATTTCAGAGCCACTCTGCTAGTGATCTGTCTGTTTCCTCAATGTAGCTTCTGCCCCTTTTACGAGGAATGCCATAGACGCTATATGCCATCTGTTGTGGACTTCTATTTGGCATGATTTTCATAGGTAAACTCCTAGGAGTATGAACAGGCCTTGTCATTTTTGGCATATCATAGAAGCTCTACTGTGTAGGCTCTGAACTATTCCTCTTTTTTTAGCGGTAGATGATTAGATTCAAAGTTAAGGCAACACCCAGCATGAGTAGTCTTCCTGTAAACCTTGGTGGTCAATACTGTCCACTGACCAGGAGAAAATCCCTGCTAGGAATTCGATATACATGAATGCACAAGATTTTGCGGTGAGTGATGAGTTGCTACTAGCCATTCTAAAAGCATTTGTTCCATAACCACTGAATGAACAACAGACAACAGGCATTCATGTGTGCTAATGTGTATAGCTTTCCGTCTTGCTGCCTCATCACACAGCTTCACTATGCTGGATATTACTTCCCGTGCTTCCCTGTGAACAGTTTTCCCCTGTTTACATACACTCGACATCTTTATATCACCTGTGATTGAATCTAGAATATTATCACAACACCCACAGAACACAGTACAGGTGCACTCATTACACGCTACTCTTAACTGCTTGATGTTTTAAGTCTGTTGTAGTAGTGTATGGGGGTTTGCAGTGGCTGCGCGGTCTGAGTCGTGGGCCTTGTGCCGCTTGGTCGCTGGGACCGTGAGTTCGAATCCCACTCAAGCCATGGATGTTAGTCTGCGTTTTCCTGTGTTGTGCTGTCCTGTGTACAGGTAGAGGTCTTGCGACGGGCCGATCCCTCGTCCAAGGAGTCCTACCGAATGTCTGTAGATCAAGCCAACGAAAAGTTTGGACCCGCAATGTTCAGGCACTTGAAGAACAGGTCGTTCCCAGTATCCTAGTAGTAGTGTAAAACTCTGGCATATCATATTTCCCAACAATAGCAGCCCTCTAGTCCACCTGATAATAAACATTCCCCCTGCACCACACCAGAACCGCCTTCTCTCCACAGGGATTTTCTCCTGGCCAGATGACTGTACCATCCCCTTTCTGATGATAAAAACATCCAGGAAAGGAATTGTACCCTCCGATTCTATTTCTATGGTAAAGTTGATGGAAGTTTTTATGTTATTCAGGTGGTTGTGTAGCCTATGTAAATCATGTGGCCAGGCCACAAATGTATCATCCATATATTGAAGCCACTGTGTCGGTTTGTATTGTGCCATGTCATGAGCCAGTTACTCAAAATGCGACATGAAGATGTTACTAAGAACCAGGGACAGAGAGCTTGCCATAGCCATGCATCTTTCTGTCGGAAGAACCTATCCTCCACCTGAAAGTAGTTTGTTCTCAAACAAACTTCCAACAAATCCATTATGGCTTTGATCTGCACCATGGACCATTCTGCCAATGTGTGATCATTCTGCAGTCTATTACTAATAGTACTTCTGCCTTCATCAAATGGTACATTAGTGAAAAGACTAACGACATAAAAAGTGATCAGGGTGTCTGAATTTTGAAGATTTACAGATTTTATCAGCTGTAGGAAATGGTCTGAATTCTTCATGATATATTCTGAAGGAAACCAGCCAAGGCATAACATGGAGAACCAAATCTTATGTGCATCTATATGAATGTTTCCCTTTGTGACTGACTGTGATGTCATTAAATGATAATTTTATAACCTCATAAAGATATGAATCGATATCAGGCTTTGACCAAGAGCCTCAGGAGCCGGAGAGCCGAATCTGCTAGCTAGCCTTTGTGACTGAATACCTGTTTCCAAATTTGTTATGGACACAGCATACAATGAATGTTATATGAGATACAATCCTACATTAATCATAATGTACTTAAATATTTTATTGTTTGAATTGCCATTATAATTATTAAACAATGAGTCTGGGTATGCCATTGGAGAAACTAACAGAAACAGTGCCCACAGCTTTATACTATGTGCTTCTATCTGTTCCTAGCAGCTCTAATCATTAAGTAAACACTACTTTAATGCTGAGTTAATTCTTCTCTGCTTCTGTTTCATTGGATTATCTGAAGTAATGTTGAGTGGATAGCATATCATTTGAAGAGGGCCTAGATTGTGTGATTATATATTAAAACCATTATATACATAAAATATATGACCTATATGGTGTTGTTGTTTGTAGTCTTTTAATTGCAGAAACATGTATTCATAAAATAAAATATTTATAGGCACATTCTGGACGTCTATTCTCTGACTCTCTGTTGCTCCTTTTGGCCAATAAGTCCTTGTAGGGCACCCCTTTATAATCTTGTTATCATTTACACTGTTGTTCTGTGAGCTACTCTTTATGTTTAGTGTAACAAAAACAAACTGATGGGGGTGTCCAATACTCCAGTCAGCTTGAAATAATGTGTTGGCATTTCTCATTAACTGTTTGAACTATTTGTATTGCCATCAGTGATTATGTGAAATATGGATTTGTTTATGTTGATAACTTTGTGTGTTTCTTCTGATTGGATTGCATACTGTAATACCAGTTTGTCTGTTTCTAGATCTCATCCAGCGTTGGTCGGGTCATGCTAATCCTAATTATATGGGAGACATTCTGGCCAATCATGTGTCATGAGATAAAGTGTCTAAGCAGGTCATTGGTATGTATTCATTTTAAAGTATGTCATCTTCTAGCAGACAGATGATTGGAATTCCTCATAACTTTGCACTTGTAGCAATCTATGCTGCAGGGGGGCTTAGAGGTTCATCCAATCTGCCAATTTCCTAGTCAGTCCAGAGTCAGAGATAACAAGAAAAACATTCCATTTGGGGAGATGGTTCATACCATGCATGTTTAAATTCACATGTTATATCTGGTCATCTAGATCAAAACATATTCTGCTTCTTGTTTGAACATCAAGTTCAAATCTCCAGGTATTGATCAGATTCCAGCAGAATTAATTAGAGCAGGTGGAAAAGGGTTGCATATGAGGATCCATAAGCTTATACTGTTAATTTGGGATAAGGAAGAGATGCCACAACAGTGGAGGGAATCCATAATTATTCCTGTTCATAAGATGGGGGACAAAACTGAGTGTGGTAATTACAAAGGAATTTCTCTGCTATCAACCTCATTCAAAATTCTATCAAACATTGTTTTGGCAAGATTAACTCCTTATGCGAATGAAATTATTGGGGAGCACCAGTGTGGGTTTAGACAAAACAGATCAACAATTGATCAGATATTTTGCATTCGTGAGATACTAGAGAAAAAATGGGAGTTCAGTGGGACCGTACATTAATTATTTATAGAGTTCAAAAATGCCGTTGACTCTGTGAAGAGAGAATGTTTGGGAAGCCTGAGGGGAAGAAACCGCTTTGGAAACCTAGACGTAGATGGGAGGAAAATCTCAAGCAGGATCTATGGGAGATAGGAGTTGAAGTAGAATGGACTTTATTGGCCCAGGACAGGGTCTGGTGGAGGGCATTGATTAATTCGGTGATGAACCTTCAGGTTCGGTAAGCCATCTAGTTAGATGGTAGTTAGTTCAAACTAGAACAGTCACTCTTTTATTGGCTTGCCAACATTTTTATAAGTGGATTATGAGATTAGTAAATGCACATTTTCAGGAACTTAAAAAAAAGGTCAAGCATTCTAGAAGTGGGAGAGGTGAACAGAAGAACTCTCACTGGAAATTTACGTCAACACAGTTTGGAATCTTACATGCCTCGATATGAGTCTTTCCCTCTGTGACTGGGTCTGTTGTGAGTTCTAAATCTATGAAGAGACCAAACAATCACAGATTTTGACTACCAGTCTCCTGACCTAAAATGCCTAGCCTCTTGGCTAGCCTTTATGCCTGTAGTTCTGCTTTAAAATTCTATTATAGGTGCAATATCCAATAAATAATGTATGAAGTTCAGTGCTCTGTAATTTTAAGTGCTAGGTTAATCGTAGATGACTGGAAGACTGTGATAAGGGAGGCCAAGGTCCTCATAGGACTGTAGAGCCACGGAGGAAGGTTAATCATAAGTTACTGAATTATTTTACTTCTGTAAATGCTTTTATAATTTTTTATAAATGAACATCATTAATTTCATTGGTGAAAATGTAAAAGAAAAATCTGTGTGATACAAAATAAGACTGGGGATATGCAGGTCATTCTGAACAGACAGTGCCCACACACACTTTCTTTGCAACTTTACACTCTCAATACTCCTACCTGTTTCTAGTAGCTTTGATATGCATTACTTATGTGACTTATAATTTTAATGTAAAAATTTGTTATTCTGTGCTGCTGTTTCATTTAGTTACCAGAAATTATATTGAGAAATTAAAATATAAGTTAAGAGCACCCGAATTATGTATCTGTTTATCACAATCATTCAGTTTTTTAATGAATGCTGCGTATGTTGTTTCTCATAACCTTTTAATTTAAGATGAAATTGTTTAACAAATTATTGATACGCATATTTTGACATCTGTCTGTCTGTCTATCTATTGCTCCTTACAGCCAATAATTGCTTGCTGCCATTTGTCAAGGGAAGTGTGCACTGTTCATGCCTCCATCTATCGTTATGTGTATGAAGTATTTGATATCAGTATGATCTGAAGCTTTCATGGTGACTTAAGTATAATGAATACTTCTCGGGCTACAAGCCGTGTCAGGTGGTTCAAAGTAAAAAACACCAACTTTTTTGAGAACCATCTTTATCATCATCCTCAGGGTACTGAAGTCTTCAGTTCCCAGAAGATGAGGATCAGTGTTTTTGCCTATCAAACACCTAACATGGCTGGTAGCCCAAGAATTCATTATATTTGATATCATACCCATCAGGTGCAGTGTAAACGACAGCTTTGGATCTTTTTTGTGCTCTGCAGAATATACTTTTTCAGTCTTATTATCCTTAACATTGCCATTCCGTTCAGGCATTCTTTGCGTTTAACATAACCAAAGTCATCTCACTGGCAAGTCCAGTCTGTCTATCAGCCTGTTGTGTTTTCAGCTGAAAAGAGTCTACTGCCATCTGTCATAAGCTGTATGACTGTGTCTGTTCATGCTTCCATGTATCAGTAGTCATGTGAAATTTCACCTTGAGCATTTATGTTCCTTCTTGTTGGTTTGCACATGATGATACTAATTGGTTTGTTTCCAGATGTCGTCTGGCATTAGTCAGACATCCCTGATCATAATAATGTGGGAGACATTCTTGCGGTTTGTGTGGCCTAATGTGATGGCTCTAGTGAGATTATGGGTATGTATTCATGTCAAGTGGGTTATCTTCTAGCAGTAAGATGATTAGATGTTACTCATACCTTACCAGCAATCAGTGCTGTGGAACAATATGGAGGTGTGTCCACTCTATGGATCATTTCATTTTAGTTAAATCCCCATGTAAACATATAGAACTCCAGATGCCAAGCATTCTGGGATTGGGAGAGGTAAATCAAAGCACCCTCGTTGGAAATTTCCATCAACTCATTTGAAAATCTTACTTGCCTCTATTTGAGTATTTCCCTCTGTGACTGCTTGTTTTCATTTGTGAAGGTATACAAAGAAGAATCAATCTCAGTCTTTGACTGCAAGTCTTCCAACCTAAATAATCCCAACCTGCAAGCTATCTTTTTTGCCCAAAGCACTATTTTTAAATTCAGTTATGGACCCAGATTACAAGTATGTCAACTACAAAACCTTGTAATTTTAAATGTGACCTTAATAAGTCACTGAAATATACCATTGTTTTAAATGGCCTTATAATCGTTAAGCTACTAACATCAGTGGAGTCATTGACAAAACTATAACAGAAAAAGTGTTGTGTACAAAATAAGATTAGAAATATGTGTTATGATCTGTGGTGACATTGTCCACAAAGTTTCTTGTAACTTTACACTCTCAATGTTTGTTTATGTTGACATCTGTCAATATTCATATGAACTGTTTAATATCACTTCCACTTTGGAACTTGTGTGTGTTCCCCATGGCACCCCTTTCCAATCTTGTTATCATTTACGTTGTCAGTCCTATGAAGCATTCTCACATTTGGCATAATCAGAATCAGAACATGGGCACATTTAGTTTGTCTGTTGGAAAGAATGTACTGCCATCACAAGACATATGAAATACTTTTGCTACCATGTGTCAGTGATCATGTGAACTTGTAGCCTATTTCTGGTGATTAGTGTATGTGTTTTTATTGTCTCCTTGATGTATACATGGTGATGCTACTGGTTTTCTTTCTAGATCACATCCTTTATTGGTCAGATCATCCTAATCATTCTAATAGTGGTGATAATCCTGGAGTTCTCGCAGATTCTTGTGATGATTGTAGGCAGAGGATGGGTTTGTATTTATTTCAAGTGGGTTATCTTTTAGTAGTAAGATGATTAATTGTTGCTCATACCTTTCTAGTCTTAGCAGTTGATGTTGTGGAGCTGTGTGGAGGTGTGCTCACTATGTGGACCATTTAATTTTAGTTTAATCCTTATGTAAACATGTAGGAGGAGCTCAAGCCTTTCCTGTTTCTGAAAGTAGCTATCTGATTAGTTGAAGACGTCATAAACAGGAGAATGTAGGGGAGTATCTCAACTGCTATCATATTTTGCATTTATGAAACATTTTTAATTTTATTCTTATGTCTTGTTTTTGTATAAGTGCAATTATTCACTTCATAAATTTATTTTGAACATCTGACACAAAAGTAATCAGATTGTAAATAGTGTACGTTGGTATAGCTTGGCATTGGGATACCTTGGAGGATAGTTTGCATCCATTAGAAATAAATGGGAAAGGGATCTGGTGTGGAAGGGTGTAGCATATGCTGTACATATAAGAGACATTATTTCCTAGTGTCAGTAGTTTCTGGCGTGGTGTGTGAGTTCCTGTGTTCAATGTGTTTATGTTTTACTGTCTGTTGCCACAGGCAAACCAACCAACTAAAAACCCGACTAACGTCAGATTCTTACATAAGTGCAAGACAATTTCACTTGCTAGTTTGACCATGCTGTTTAAGAAACACATTGCTGGTTATGGTAGACAGTGCCTTATAAACTATAAAAGTGGTTGTGCTTGTGCTGACAGGACTTCTGTTTTGGTCAAGTGTCTTGACATGTTCAAAGTAGTTTCTGTTGTGACACAGGTGAAACACACCAGCACATAATTACCATAGTTACCCAAATATAAGATGATGCCTTCACAATTTTCAGGAAAATACCAATATTCACACTAGTCAGATTTTTATGTCACCTGTAAGAATTACAGTTGGTTGAAGAATTTTATCACATTTAAAAATTATTGTCTATATGAACATTATTTGTCTATCTCTTTGAGAAGTAGAGAATCAGTTATCAAAATTAAAAATGTTTTACAAGAAAGAGTCATAGGGATTACAGTATTTATATTTTTCTCCCAGATTGAAATCACATATATATAAAATTATTGTCAAAGCAACATCGTCATATAATCTGTTAAAATGGAAAATATTGTGCATGGCTATTTCAGTTGGAAAGTTTACATTTGTTTTTTTTATATCGCGATCAAAATAATTGGAATATCATGTGACTGATAAATGTGCACCAGTGATTTTCTTCATGAATGTGAATCCAGACAAAGCAAATTTGCCAAAACAAATTAATTATAAAATCTGATCGTGTGATCTTGGAAACCTCCTACATAGTTACTACATGAAGAAAGTATTGCAGTTTGTTAAATTAGTTGTAAATTTTAGAGTTAAAGAAAGGGGATATTCAGTCTTTAAGAATAAGGTGCACATCATACTCATGCAACAGGATGGGTGGTGTAAAACGTGGTACATGCGTGGTGTTTTCTAGCATCAAGATACCGTGAAACAATTGTACTGTAGGCTTATACCTAATCTGGAAACTTTTCACAATACTACTACTG